GGTCAGGGGACAAGGCGCGGGCGGGAGGGGTTGGGAGTTCTGAGGGGGGCAGGAAGTCCTGTTTTTTGATTGTTGAAATACTGTAACCCTAGTTCTGCCCCTGCCCCCGCTTAGTCCCAGCTCCCCCCTCCCCGCCCCTGACTGGCCACGCCCCCCGCACAGTCAGTGTCCGCCCCCTGCCCAGACTCCGCCCATCCTCCCACGCGATTGGCCCCTGGCCCCCTGGGTGCCCCCCCCCCCGAACAGGGGAGTTTAGGGCCAAGTGAGGGCACAACGGCTTCAGCAGGTGATACTGCGCATGCGCCTCGTGTTCCGCGCGCATGCGCAATGCGGCCAAGACAGCGCGCGCGGGGGCTCAGCGCCGCCGAACCCGCCTCCCGGGTCTGACCCGGTGTCACCGCGTCTGACGGGCCAGGTACAGGGGCGGGGCGGGGCCTGTGGAGCGGGAGGGGGGGGGTCTGTACCGGCTGGGCCCGAGAGGACGGCAGCGTCCCGGGGCAGGCTGGGAGCTGTAGTTCCCGACGGACCACGGGCCGGAAATGACGTCGGCCCAACCGACGGGCGGAGGCGGTTAGCGGTGCGCGTGTGGGCGGCCCTCCCACCCTCTGATTGGCGGAGAGACGCCGGTGCACCGGACGCAGCAGCGCGCGCGGGGCCGGCCGACCGAGACTCCGGGAGCCAGAGGTGGGGGAGGGGGCAGAGGGTGTGAAAGGGGGGGTCAGGTGAGGGGGGTTGGAAAACTGTTGCTGTGAATCTCTCTCAGCGGAGGGGGGGAGGGGACGGAAGGAGGTTCGATCCCTGCTGCAATGATCCGTTTAAAAGGAGTCCGGTCCCCTCCCCCCTGAGCCATGTTTCCGGTCTCGCTGAGACGCGGGTTAATCCGGAGTCACTGCCCGGCGGAACAGGGAGTGACTCCAATTCCCACGGGGGCAGATAAGATCGGGATGTGACCCTGTGGGGAGCGGGTTTCAGTTGTTGCCAAAGGGGGGAAAGTTGCTCAGTTTCTCTCTGTCTCTTTCTCTGCCTCAGGATATTGGGGTTGAGCTTCCTGGGAGCCCAGGCTGAGCAGCTGCTGCTCCCCCAGCGGGATCGGGGCTGGGGAGTGACCTCTGCGCCCAGCCAAGGTGAGGATTTTCTCCAGCTGTAATTAGCCCCATAGGTCAACCCAAGGCTCTGCCCACCCCAGCATCTGAGTCAGAGACGCCAGGTGATGGATAGAGACCTCAGGGACCTGGGCATGGGCATGAGAGTGACTCTGCACAAACAGCCCCTCCCCACCCCATGTCTCTCCTCCCCATAGCAATTGCAGGAGCCGATCCAGCCATAGGAGAGCGAACCCCCAGGATTGGCTGTCCGCCAGAGGAGGAGAAACAGGGGAAGGGAGACACAAGGAGAGAGAGAGACTGAAAAGGGCAGTGGGGAGAGAGATTCCCCAATTTCTGACTGGCCCCACACACTTATTGCCGCATCCCTGGGCAGATTCACTTTCCTGGGAACAAGGTGAGGTGCAAGGGGAGCAAAACCCAGTTCCTGACTCTACCTGTTCCCCCCAGCGGTGGGAGTGAGCTGCCCTGGGGACAGTGTCAGGGGGAATCCCCCAGTGTCACTCCTTTTGTTCTGCTTTTCTCTCCCATTTGGTTCCCAGACTTTGTTACTGGGAGGGTTTCAAAATGTCT